AAGGTTGGATGGTGAGCACTAGACTTTAAGGCCCCATTGGGGATTTAGTTCTTTGTCCCAAAAGCTCTGAATACTCAATGGTGGGAAATTTTTTTTAAAGAAATAAAAATTTTAATTGCAGTAAAATACACATTAACATGAAAGTATCACTTCCACCATCTTTAAGCATATAGCTCAGAAGCATTAAGTACATTTACATTGCTTTATTATCATCACCATCCACCTCCAAAACTTTTTCATTTTCCTAATCTAAAACTTTACACCCATTAAAACATTAATTTCCCATTCTCTACTCTCCCAGTCCTCGGCAACCATCAAGATGCTGTCAAAAGGATAAAGGAACCAGCTCCCTGGGCTCCCACTGGTCAACTTAAGACAACTTTGGCAGAAATAGACTATATTACCAAATTTAAAAAGAACCCCAAATCACAAGTCTACACATGTAAAATACATAATACATTAAAAATAGAGGGGATAGGGAAGAGAAAATTCTTTTATATTGAAGAATACTAACTTATAAAGAATGACAGACCTAGAAAATTACTTTTTTAAAAAACTGATTCATGCCAGGGGTATAGCTCAGTGGCATGGTGCTTGCCTGGCAAGTGCAAGGTCCTGAGTTTGATTCCCAGTTCAAAAAAAAAATTGATTCAGGCAATAATCATCGATATTAAAATACTGGGCAAAAAACTGTTAGGAAACAGAACATTCATAGTTGTCTAGTATAACTCCACAGATTATTTTTGTAAACACAAAGGAAAGCAGCTGCTTTTGCATGTCTCTACAGAAATCTGGAAGATACTGTGTTAACTAAGTGATCAAATCTATGAGTGTCAATTGACAGACATCATGTCCTGGGTATGAAGCAGTGAGGAGGACAATGGCTCATCTATGTAGTGTTCTTGTTTGAAATGTGCAACCTGACTCAAATGAGGTAACAATCTGATGAACACAGTCACAGGGGAACAATCTAAACATTCTGTACAACCGACCTTGAGTCTTCAGAAATACCCATGTTAGGGCTGCAGTGAAGGTGTCTCAGTGGTAGATTGCTTACCTACCAGGAATGAGATACACACAACCCTCCCAATGCCCTGAAAAACAATAAAATTAAAGTCTAGGAAATTGTGCCAGATTAAAGAGGATTGAACAGATCCAGTATTAATTCAATGTGCAATTTTTGGATGGGTAACAAAAAAAGGGATATCACTGGGATAACTATAGAAATTAGAATACAAGCTGTACTCCAGATGATATTATTGTATCAATGCTACATTTCCTAAGTGTGATAACTGTATTAAGATTAGGCAGGAGGACACCCTTGTGAGACCCATGCTGTAGTTGTTATGGTTTGTGTCTAGATGTTCCCATAAAGCTTCATGCAGTCAAGGGGGATGGGCTTTTTGGAGGTGGCTGAATCTTGAGTTTGTGATTGATTCATGGTCCAAATCTGTGATTAAGGGTGTGAGTGTTACACCTGCCCACATAAAATAAAAGGAACAGAACAAAGCTTGTTCTCTCTCTTTTGTTGCTTTTGCTGTCTTCTGCCACCATGAACTTTTGCCCCTCTGCCGTGTCCTACCTTGCCTCGGAGCCAGCCAATTATGGGCTAAAACCTCTGTGGGCTAAATAAACCTTTCCCTCTTTAACTTTGGGTGTTGGGTATTTTACCTCAGCAACGAAGAAAGTAACCAAGGCAGTAGTATTTAGAGATAAAAGTTCATAAAGCCTGCAAATAATTTTCAGGTAATTCAAGAACAAAAAAGAATATAGAAAAATAAAGTAAAAGTGGCAAAATGTTAAAAACTGGTGAATCTAGATGATGGGTACTTAATTGGATGTTTACTGTATCTTTTTGCAAGTCATCTCTGGGGGGTGCTGGTTTGCAAAGTTCAAAATAAAAAATTTAGGATGGCAACAGAATGAAAAGACACTCCACACTGGGAGAAAATATTTACAAAACAAAATAAAGGATTGTTATCCAAAATGTACAATGAACTCTTAAAACTTACTAAGATGAATCACCAATTTTAACTTGAGCAAAAAGATCTGAACAGACACTTCACCAAAGAAATACAAATGGCAAATAAGCATAAGATGGGCCATATCATGTCTCTAGGGAATCACAAATTAAAATAATAAAATACCACTATTAGAATGGCCTAAATCCAAAACACCGATAACAGAACAGTAAATTTCATTCATTATTGGTGGGAATACAAGATACAGCCACTCTGAAAGATAAAAGTTTTCTAACTACCTGACAATCTGAAAACGTAAAACTATGAGGACAGTAAAAAGATCCGTAAAAAAAAAAAAAAATCACAGAAGAGGGGTGTGGTGGATTAACTAATGGTCAGCTGAATCAGCAGGGTGCTGGGTGTGGATGGTCCACCTGAAGATTGTTGCCAACAGCAACTGGAGGGGAAGATGGTGTGCTGTTGATTTCCCTGGAGAAGCTTGTCACACTGGCTTTCCTGATATGAACTTGGTTGTTCCTGATATGAACTTGGAGCTTGGGACTTCACCGTTGCTGACGATGGCTATTGTTTTTTTTGGGGGGAGCTCTGGTCCTTACTTTTGAGTGTCACTTCCTGGCTCCAGTACAGATCAGTACAGATCTCTCAGCCTGCTGAAACAGATACTTCATCCCATTAGAACAGACTTTCTAGCTTCTACCACTGACCTTTGGGTCTTCTCAGTGGAGAATTTACTCAGACAGAGACTTGCATGAGACACTATTGTGGACTCTAGGCCTCCAGCTGGACTCATGGAGGACACTGCCATAGGCTCTAGGTCTTCAGGTGGACTTGTACAGGACACTTTAGTGGGATCCAGAACCTCAGCTGGATTCTTTGGGTCTCTAGTGTATGGACAGTTCTCCAGCATTCTTTTACATTTGACTCTTTGGGTGAATATTATAAAATAATGTTACAAATTATGTGTCCTGTATTAAATCTTTTCCCTTAAAAACCTTGACCACAACAAAATAGATAACAGGTGGGAGGGGTCATTGCTGTGATGTTGCCTGGTCATGTGGCTTAAGACCTTTGGGAATTAATTTTGAAAGTTTTTGAGAGACTGATTGAAGAGGCAGCCCCTCTGATTGAGCTCTGACTTTGGTCAGAGCCTGGAAAATCAGAGTACTGATAGAAATAATGGCAGTTAAGATGAGGTTCAGGAGGTTTCTATTGAGGACTGAATTGGCTGCTGGATCCTTTGGCATGAAGTTGGTCTGCATTTTGCTTGTGTTTAGAGATAGTGTCTGTGTAGCAGAAAAATTTCAATGCAGACTACTATTGGGAAGGTGGCATGGTTACTGCTGAGAGCTTTGGGCCAGATCTGTTTGAAACTAAGGGCAAAGAGCCAGCAAGATGATTTGAAGCATTTGGCCAAGTGGAAGGCTCTAGTGGAGCTACATTGCAAGGATGAAACAGAGAACATGGTTGTCCTTCACCAGAAGGGAAGAGTGTATTTGAAATGCAGGCAATCCCTTGGGGTGTCTCTTAATGTTGCCATGCGGTTATTAAAAGTTAATGGGAAGCAAGGATTATGATTGATTTTAATATGATTTTACTGTTTTTAGATATGTTTGCAATCAGGTTAATTAGTAAAAGTATTGTGGTTTTAACCTGGAATTTTGATGGTCCTTTGAATATTTTGCTTTTGGTGTGGAAATGAGTGCAATAAGAATAGTATATATGTAATTGTCAAGTTAATGTAAATCTGAATAGGCCAGGATATGTTAACTTTTTGCAAATCTGCCACTGGAGACTACAGGTTAAGGAAATGTGTCTGGTGATTAAGTTGACAAGGGGTGGACTATAGTGGTTGACTGATTGCATCAATTTAAGAAATTTACAAGCTTAACTTAATTGGCTCAGCAATTCTATAACCTAGGGTGTAGAAGACCTGCCCTACGGCTGTCTGCACCTTAGGGTGTAGAGGACCCACCCTAGGGTAGCTTGTCACCCAGACAGTATAAAGGAGAAATGAGGAAGGAAGGACTTGCTTCTGTTCTTCGGAGGAGCTCCAGTCTTTGCCTTCAGCTTGGACATCATCTCTTGGCTTCTAGTGCAAACTCTTCAGCTTCCACCTTGGATTCTTTGGCCTTGTGGTGTGTGTACTCATCAGCCTTCCATCACAGACCCACTTGCCTCTTGATATGCACTTGCAGAAGACCCTACATGAACTCTAGACCTTGGACTGAAACTTTCAGCCTCCAGTATACAGACATCCTCTGCACACTTCCTCATCCAACTCTGTAGCTGACCACCATAAGCCAGTCTTGTAATTTCTTATACATCTGTATATCTTGTGTTATATCTTTGTCTAGTAAAATGGGCGGCTTATTGAAATTAAGAGTGAAGAGCTAGCAAGATGATTTGAAAGATACAAAAAGACACTGACTGATACAAGGGGCATGGGAATGAAGGGCACAGAGGATTTTTACAGGAGTGAAACAAATCAACATGGTACTATGATGGTGGACATATGTTGTCATACATTTGCCCAAACCCACACAACACATAGCATTAAGCATGAACTTTAAGATGTACTATAGTCTTTGGGTGATAATGTCAATGTAGGTTCACCAATTTTAACAGAGGTACATAGGATACACTGGATGACAACAGGACAGTCTATTTTGTTTTGCTGTAAGCCTAAAGCTGTTTGAAAAATAAAGTCTATTTAAAAAGAAACACTGAGGTTGAGTGGGGGCCTGACTTGACTAGGCATGCCTCCTCTTGATTGAACAAACTCACCTTGCCCCAGCTCTACTCTGCAGCCTCTAAAGCATCATTTTATTTCATGGGAGGTAGTTCCTATGAGTCTTCCCTTCAAATAAATAAAAAAAGAAAACTGAGAAGTGTCCATGCCCAGGGGTGAAAAATTCTGTTAACCATCCTTGATTCTCTGGGCATCAAAACCTCATGCCTTATTTCTTGCCATTGGTTCTCTTTTCCTTTTCCCAGGAAAAAGACATCATTTAGAAGTACCTGTGGAAGTCACCCAGGTCTTCTGCACTGATAAAATCATCTAAGTTCAGAGTCAAGTCTGTCACTTGCTGTGAGCCATATTCCTAGAAAAATGAAAATAGGAAATGAGAGATGGGGGATAGTTCTGGGCTGAGCACATGGGTAGGGAGAACAACAGTACACAACTTAAAGAAATACACATGTTCACACAGAAAAATATGTTAGGGCTCTTTGCAATGTGTGAAATACTTTTCTGATGCATAAGGACGTTTCTGATTTAGTAATACTTCCTTTCCAACACCAGGAAACCTACTTCCCGGGCTCTGGCTTGGGGCCAGGCATGCAACCAAGTTTCAAATGGAAGTACAACTGTGAGCTGCAGCAACATGGAGAAGTAAGCCCAGCAAGGAAGAGCAATCTTGCTAATGAGGGTAGCAGCAGAAGCTGTAGGTATCACAGTATCAGTGGCTGATAAGAAAAGATACCAGGCTGGCAATACTGGCCAGTACTTAAGGCTGAGTGGGTGAGAAGCAGCAGCGTTTTTCAAGGTTTGGGGCACTGCTCCTTGTAACCTAGGCTTGAAACTGTTTCAGTGAGCTATCCCAGTTCTTTTAATAATAAACACTTCTGTTTAAACTAATCTGGAGGGCTTTCATTGTTTGCAACTAAGAATCCTGTGACATTCAGATCTAAATGTTCATCCATAAAAGAAGGGATAATGGAATATAATAATCAAAACAAATGAGATGTAATCTATATGTGTTCCCATGTAAAGACTTCCATACTAAGTGAAAAAAGCAAAGTGTTGTTCAATACATACAGTCGGATATTTTATAACACACACAGAAATCCAAAGCATAACAAAAAGAAACTCACTGTCTTTAAGGTGCTTTTGGTTGAGTGGCAGATTACAAACAGTAAAGTGGACCACAAATAAATACAAGGTGTGATCACAATATACAGTGAATACTTCAGTTTAAAAAATTTACTGTGGTAATACCATTTGCCATTAACTTCCTCAAAACATTCCCTTTCACTTCAAACATACTTATCCCATGTTCTTTCCACTTTCTGAAGCAGTTCTAGAAGTTCTCTTCTATGTTTTTCTGCCAGGCTTTAATGATAACATGAGTTGTGATAAAAAAATGTAGTAAATGCTGCTGCTGAATGCCATCCAAAGAAAAGGCAAGCTAGTAAGAGCATTATGGTGTGTCCTCAGCCACCTTCTTCACCAGATATGGCACTGTGTGACTTCTGGCTCTTCCCCAAAGTCAAAATTATCATGAAAGGTAAAGTTTTGAACTGATTCAGGACACAAGCAGCCATGACCGTGCAACTAAAGGCATTCATAAAAGAGGACTTCCAGAACTGCTTCAGAAAGTGGCAAGAATGATGTGAGGGGGAATATTTTGAGGTGGATTAATGGCAATTTTTTTTAATGAAATAATTTTTTTAAAAAAACTTAAACATTCACTGTATTTTTTAGTCACACTGTGTACATAATTACAAGACGTGAAAATACCAGGAAGGAAAACAAACGGAGAGTTACAGTTTAAATTTTTCTGGCAAGTGGGAATGAGTAGGTAGGCCTGAACTTCTGGGTAAGTGAAAAAAGTGTGTCAGGCAGGCTTGAAAGAATGGGTTGTATGTGTGTGCATATGTATGTGTGATGGCAGACTGGGGTGGGGAGTTCTAGCATAAGAAACACAACATACAAAGGCTCCAAGGCAGCAAAATCTCAGCTTGTTAAAGAAACTACAAATAGCTGCCTGGGGCTATAATAAGCCTTTTTTTCCTGTGTTGTTACTGAATGGATTTCTCTTAATTATTTAGCCATTCCCCTGTGGATGGAAGTCCCTCCTTCATCATACAGGCACTGAACATCTTCACAGACAAAGTTTTTCTATATTTAAGGTTCTCAACTCAGGATAAAGTTCCAGAAATGAAATCACTGGGTACAGCTCTGGATCCATACTGTTAAATGCATTTTAAAGCAGCTACCCTCACTAGACCCTGTTGGGTCTCAGAAACTCACCAGCACATTGATGATCATGCTGTTCTCCACAGGGACAGCTTTCACCAGGAGCTTTCTGGACCCATCCTTGGACTCATAACGGAGGACATACAGGTCTTTATTATTGCTCCACCCAGCTGGTAGCAGTTCTGACTTCTTATCACTGGGACCTGGCTGAGAAGACACAGGATTGAGAAGAGAAAGATCATGACCTCAGAAGTGGAGCTACAAAGGATCTTACAGACAATCTAATCCTACTTCTCAATTTACAGATGAGGTTATGAAGGTAAAGAGAAGTGACTTGTCCAAGGTGATACAGCAAGTTACAGTTCTAGGACCTGGGCCTCTGAAACATTCTCCCCTATCTGGCTGCATTTATGGCACAACTAGACTCTGTCAAGAATCTGCAGTTTTAGTTTAATAATCATCTCTCCATTTCCCTGCCAAGAATAAGGCCAACTATCTCAAGGGACAGCATGAACTTTTACAGCAGTAATTTTCAATGTTTGGACCTTGATCCATTTGCAATAAGATCACCAAAATGTTGGCTAAACACACAGACCCAAATTTAGCCCCCACCAACCAACTTCAATGGTTTAACAAAAATTATGAACAATTTTCATATATACTCAAAATGCAGCCTAATGGAGCTCTATATAGCTACCACCAGCCTAGAAAACAGCATCACTAGTCGCTGAGTGTTATCATTAAAGCCTTGAGTAGCATACCCCAACTAATCTCCCTCTACCCGCCTCACCAGTAACCATTACTCTATATTTTTTAAACTTTTTTTTTACTTTTCCTTCAAGTTGTTTTACTGTGCCAGCAACCATAAAAATACACTGCTTCAAATGGTCTTGAATTTTGTATAAATGATATCAGTTCTGCTAGTTGCCTTTTACATTCAATAGTTTTTGGAAATTCATCAGTGTCGATGCATTGAGCTATAGCTGACTCACATTCACAACTATACAGTATTCCATGGTATGAATGTGTTGCAATTTACGTGTCCGCTTGTTGAGGAAGACTAGAAGTATTTCGTTTGTTTTGCTATTAAAAACAACGCTGCTATGAATATTCTTGTATGTGTGGGGAAGCATTTCTATACAGTATGTCTGCAGGAAAAACTTAAAACTTGTACATTGTAAGACAAAGGGAAACTGTTTACAAAGAACTACAGACATATACTCCCACTAACAATGCATGAGAGCTCCTATAGCTCCCACAGTTAGCAACACTGCTATTACCCAACTTCTTAATTCTTGCCAACCTGATAGGTGTAACATGCATCCTCTGTGAGTTGTGATGTTTTCTTTTCTATTCCTTTCTAATAATCCTTAAAAAGCTTAAGACAGAGTTTTCAAATTATTTCTATATTTAAAAACAAATCCAGTGACTTCCGGGTGGGGAAAGATTTCTTAAACAAGATCCATAAAAGAAAAAAAAAAATACCACCTTTGAGACTGTTCATAATTTAAAGCATGTGTTCAAGAAGAGACACTACAGACAAAGTTAAAAGGCACAGGCTAGGAGAGTATTTGCCACACCCATCAAGAAAAAATTAGTAACTGCCACATAAAGCCAATGCCTAAAAAATGAGCAATAAAAATTGGGAACCCAAAACACTGGCAAAAAGGACTGAGGAAAAGAGCACCTAACAATATATAAAAGCTTGTTCAACTTTACTAGCAATCAGAAAAGTACCTGCTGAAATAAGGACATTGGTTTACATCTATCAGACTGATATTACCACTTTTCTACTTTTTGCCAGATGTTTGTGTGGGTATGGGTAGACCTCCAGGCATTGCTGGTGGGCATTCAAACTCATCTGGTCACTTTCAGGAGCAGTCTGGCAGTATTTAAGTACAAACACCATGACTGTCTACTTTGGAAGAAACCCCACGCACAGACACATGCACGAGATGTAACAAGGAATCTTCACAAACATACTTACAGTGGATTGCTATATTGCAGCCAGAATAAACAAACTAGATCTAATTGTAGCATTATAGACAATAGTAAAAAAAAAAAAAATGGTTTAAAGAAAAGTTCAGTTCTCCCTAGAAAAATTAAAAAATCATACAACAGCAATATATGTGCACCTATGTTTATAACAGCATGATTTGTAATAGCTAAATCTTGGAAACCACCCAAATGCTCCTCAACCGAGGATGGATAAAAAGATGTCATATTTTTATATAATAGAATACTACTCAGTCATAATGAAGGATAAAATTGAGACTTTTATAGGTAAATGGATGCAACTTGAGACCACACTTGTAAGTGAAATAAATCAGACTTATATGTGTAAACATTGTATTGTCTCCCTGATGTGAGAAACTAAAAGAGTAAATAAGGTCTAGAATGTACAATAGATAGTATGAAATGGGAAGTAATTGCTTAACAGGAAAAAGGAAATGGGGGGAGGGGAAAGGAAGGAAGTGAAAAGGGAAAAAATACAAGATAGCTGTACTATTAGTATCTCTTGGTTCACTGAAAAGGAAGATCTATGCTAATATCAATCGGAAAATTTTTTATGCCCATATTTTGTACTCTGAATAACTACTTTGAAGATAGTAATATGCAATGTATTAACTATTGTTATTCTCCTATTATTCTGAAATTCTATTTTAGCTTTTTTCAATAAAAATATATAAGTAAATAAATAAAAAAGTTCAGAAAGAATGAAGTATATGGCTGAGTGCTATTCACAAAAAAAATTTAAAAGCACACTGAAATTGCCACATCCTGTTTCATGGGTGCTTATTTATATTATTCAACATGGACCACACAGGGAGAGCAGAGTGGCTGTATTCATGTGAATACAGTGGGAAGGAGTGGGACCAGATATGAAGAACACCAGCAAAAGACAAAGGTCTAGCAATGCAGGACTTTCCATATATCAAGGGCAAAGGGAAGCCAGGAATTTAAAATTGCTGGCTCTCCTATTTGGTAACCTCTAGTCCTCAAGAATCCACTGGGGGAAGTTGTTCCAAAGACAACTAAGGCTGTTGCAACTGGCATGGTTTAAAGCGGGCTGGATAATAATGGAATTCACAGGCCTGAAGCAGAGAAATGAGAGTGACAAAAAACGAAAGTGAAACTATCAAACTATTCTGTTGAAAAGAGCAACTATTCTCTTACCCAAAATGGTAAATTTCCTATGAAGTGCTTAGTGTTGTGGATTTACTTTGGAAGCTAGGGGTGTGAGGATATGTATTATCTTTGTTCTGTCAAGGGCTTTTAAATTTCTAATATATGCTTTATGCACAGCACTCAATCTACCAGAATTCTCTCTTGGAATATAGATAATTTGGTCTGCTCATCACCCCATCAACTTTGGCTTTCAGAGTAAGGCGGGATTTCTGAGGTCAGATAAGGCTGATACCTCTCACTGTGGTAGGACTGACGCTCCCCAGACACTGAGATAGCACTGACAGGACAGCCCTAGTATTATCGGGCCAAACATGGCCTTCAATTGCCTTCTGGGCCCTGAGATCAAATATCAACTACTGCAGAAACCATGGTTGGAAAGTAGCCAAAGTACACAGTCCTCTAGTGTAACTTCTGCAGACAAAAACTCTGAGGCCTTGCATGGGCTGAGACTCACCCAAGGTCATAGCAGCCCAAGGTCATAGCAAGTTAGGTATACAGCTAGGTTTGAAATTCAGAGCTCCTGGTTGCCCAGGTTATAGCTGGAGAAGACTGTTCCCACCCACGTCCACCAGACTGGCCCCAAGAAAGTAATTTTTTTAGGCAAAATCCTGAGGCTGGAAGAATTCTTTAATGGGCATGAATTGAACTCCATGCCTCTGTGCTAAAATGCACCCAAAGAACTCCAACAGGTCATTTTGGGCATTTTCTCTTTCTACATAATCCTTACATTCCTACAACAGAAAACCAATTTCTCTAACCTGTTTATGGCCACAGCTTAAGTCTCTCTGCCACCTAAACTGCTTGATATAGCTACTTAGCTCTTAGAGCACTGGGACTATCTTCAAGAAGGAAATTCAAATGTTAATTTTTGCTAAAGTCAACAGATGTTGCTCTTCTAGCCAACTTTCGCACACATTATTCTGTGACAATGCAGACAAATCAAAAGAGAAAGTAAACAAACTAGCTTCCTATTACAACTGTTCATGTATTATACAGTCAAGTACACACTCCAGGGACCCTTGTTTCCCTATTATCACCCAGAAGGGTAGGTAGCAGGAGGTAGCTGGAGAGGAATAAAAATATCCTCTAAGCTTAGAAAACACTTGTTCTCAGACGAATCTGCTGGTCCCCTGCTGAAAAACTAAACTTTCCCTTAAATACAGGAAAGATACCACTCCAAAGGACTTCTGCTGTGAAGGAGAGCACACTCAGCAGAAGTGAGAGCAACCTGAGCCCAAAGCCTCTTCAGGAAAAAAGGCTGAGAGAAGCCCAAATCAGCACACTCTACATTGTGCTAACACCTGTACTCTCTGACATGTGCCAGATTTAGCACTGAGGTGGACAGACAGACAGTGGGCAATGTCTTCCCAAACTCCTATTCCCTGGGCTCCTCGGCCTCCCTAAAGATGTCTGGAACCAGCATCATTTTCTGACCCATTGGAGCTTGACAAGGGGCACTATAAGCAGAAAAACCTTTGGGAATGTGTCAGGGACTTTTTATTTATTTTTACAAATCAGCATTAAAAGGAGAATACAGTATATTCTTTCTGTATATTTCACTTGAAAATCTGAGAGTCTGCAAGCCAAGTTGCCCCAGCATTGCCCCAGCAGCTGAGCATTCAGGTCTAATGGCAGTGCTGGCACCTTGCAATAAATAAGTAAGTTTTGGGTTGCAGTTCCAGCACTCAGTCTCTGAAGGTTTTACTATCACTGGTCTAAAGTACTGGCAAGAGGATGACACCAACTGGAACTGATATCCTAATCTGTCAAAGTGCCTCAGAGGTGCTCACAGGATTTGTTAAGGAAATGAGGGGTGAGAGCAAGCCAGCAGTGTTAATAATGTATGTCCCTGTTACAAGCTCCTGGTCCTGCAGAGAGGAGGAAGGAGTTCTGACAGTGAGGCAGAGCAGATATAGCTGGTTGGGAGTAATGGACGGGGGGTGGGGGGGGAGCATGTGGTGAGGTACAGGGCATGGCAGACCTGTTCCATCTTTGGAATGTGGCCAATGGGGAAATTCCAAGGTTAAAACCAAGTTGTATTTCTCTTTCCAACCTATTATCACTTACATCATCCTACACATCAGCTTCCTGGTGGTAGAACTTTCCAGGAAAAGTTGAAATAGTTGAGGCAACAAAAAGCTGTTAAACGATTAGGAAACTGGACAAGTGGGGTAAACAAGGCTAGAGGAAAGCAGGGACTATGCAAGAAAGGGGAACCTAAAACCTGGGACTAGAGAGGAGGATTTCTCTTTTTTTGTCTTTTTGAGACAAGGTCTCGCTATGTAGTTCAGGCTGTTCTCGAACTCACAATGATCCTCCTGCCTCAGCCTCCCGAGTGCTGGAATTACAGGCGTGTGCCACCACGCCCGGCGAGAGAGGGATTTCTTTAGTTGGTGCCAAGGTCTGAAATGCTGAAAAGCAAGGAATGAAGTACACTGTGAAAGAAAGTCCAGGGAGATAAATCTGGGTGGGGGAAATGGTTCCCACTTCCAAGGGCATGTGTGTAAACATGTGTGTGCATGAATGCATTCACATACTTGTGTGTAAAGCTACCTATTTCTCTCCCACCTTGTCCCCAACCCCAGTCCTAGAGCCCATATGAGGGATGAAAGATGAGCGTGGAGAGGGTAATGAGGTGTTGAATGTGTATCTGGTCCCAGGAAGATACTTGAGTTTTTTAGGGAAAAAATAGAGCCAGAGAAAGCGATAATAGCTGCTCTGATTCCTGCTGATGGGAGTAAAGTGTGAATGGGGTATAGTGGTCTTAATCCTTAGTTTTACAGGACAGAAGGAACAAAAAAGTGGTGAGGGCATGGCTAAGTGCTCAGAGGCATGGGAGATACCTGCCTAAATGCTCAGTGTTTGAGGAAGGAAAGGGAAATTAATAAGAAGATGATGCACATCTGAGAAGCTAGAACAGGACTCACGGGTTGGAGAAGTAAGCCGTTAGAAACGAGAGGAAGTTTATAAGCCTGTAATCCCAGCACTCGGGAGGCTGAGGCTGGAGGATCGTTTCCAGTTCAAGATCAGCCTGGGCTACAAAGTGAGCTCAAAGCCAGCCTGAACTGCAGAGAGAGACCCTGTCTCAAAAAGGGACAAAAAAAAAAAAAAAAAAAGAGTAAGTTTAAAAATCTCACTGCAAGATGTAAGGGGTGGGATGGCTGCTTCCTGGAGCTGGTATTGGTCCTGACCTGCAAGTCTGAGGACAGTGATCATGAGGGGCAGGTCTGGAGCGCTGAGGGCCCACGTGTGTGTATGTGGGGAGTGTGGCCGGGAGGCTACTCCGATGCAGCAGGTGAAAACCAAACCAAAGGAGCAGTCAGGGGGCCAGGCCCAGTTCTCCCAGGAAGCTGATGTGGAGGTTAAGGGTCACACGGAAGGGACAGGAAGACGGGGGAATGCTACAGCAAAGAATTAGTGAGGTGGACTGGACCCCGTAGTCCTGGGGATTTGTGGAGCTGTAACAAGGCCACAGTTAAGAGGTAAAAACTGGGGATGGCACAGTCGGACAGGATGGCCAGGTGGCGACAGCTATGGGAAAGACCCTCACACCAAGGGTCCTTATGTGGGTATGTGGGGGGTGGTAGTTCCCCAGAGCCTGTGCTGGGGTTGACAGTAGTAAGTGGACCGCTCTGGGCCCTTCAATGAAGGGTGAAGAAGGTGGGTGTCTCGAGGGCTATGCTGAGGGGGGAAGACCGGCCCCTGGACTGGGGCTGAGTTGATCAAAGTTCACTCCTATACCCATGCTTGGATCTGACTGGTGCAGGCTCGGGTCGTTGGGGGTACAGGGCAGTACTGAGCAGTCTCCGCAAACCCACTCTGGGACTATGTGGTCAGGAGTTTCGAGGGGATCAGCCCCGAAGACTGGCTGTGCTGACACAGCTTTTTGTTTACAAATCGTGCCGAGCCAGCCGCGTCAGGAAGGCCTCCGGGAAGGTTTGGCCCGACCCATCCAGTCCCCGCGGTTTAGGATCAGGAGCCCTAGGGCACAGACTTGAGCGAGGGGGTGGGGAGACTAGGTCTTCGGCCCTCTGGCTATCCGCAGAAGACCGTCCGCACCCCCCTCCCCGCCTCCGGCGGGCTCCGTGACACACCTGGTCGCCGGCGCCCAGGCCGTAGTAGCCGTGCGTCACCACCTCCCAGTGCAGGAAGCAGACGAGCGCGTCCTGCGCGCAGCTCATAGCCGGCGCCGCCGAGGCGAAGAGCACCTCCAAGCCCGCCATGAGCGCCGGCGGCTTCTGTGGGCGGAAGAAAGAACGATGAAGAAGTGAGCCGGCTCCGCCCGCGAAGGAGTTCTTACTTCCCGAGCTCCACTCCCCGGTTTAAAGCCGGGTCTCCACCTCCGGCCAAAATGGAGCAACCCCGGGGGTGTGGCGTGGCCGCCGGAAGTAGCTGCAAGCCCTGACGCGTCTTTGCTTTGCACACCGGGCTGGAAACGCGAGCGTGACCCTGAAAGGTTCCGCGAGGGCTGGCATCCACATCTAGCCCACAGCCCGCAAGACCGTTCATCTTTTGATCCAAACTCATACAGTTGGTATTAATGGTAGTAGCATTTTACAGATGAGCAAACGGAGGCACAAAGGAATAATTTGACCAAGATGATCCACCTAACCAGTGAGTGGCAGAGATGATACCAGAAACTAGCCGTGTAGCTCCTAAGATAACATTTATTACAGTTTATTGTGTGGTAACACAAACTTGTGCCCAAACGTTTACACCATCCTCTCAAATCTTCAACGGTAGATCGCCTGTCATCCCCATTTTGCAAGTGACCAAACGAAAGCAGAGAGTTGAAGTCACCCAAGAAGACAAAGTTCCTGACCAAATTTCGGGCATTTGTTTGCCTATCTCCTTCATAACTTTTAACTTATTATTTCTTTACCAAATTTCTTAAAGTTCAATTATTGTTTTTACTTAAATAAATTTAGTTTTCTTAGCCCGCACAGCACCGTGGCCCATGCCACTGTCCTTTCCCACTTGGATGCCAGGCAGCAGCCTGTGAACTCCATCCTAACTATTTATGTCTGTTCTGCACTCTGCAACCAGAGAGATCGTGTTAGAACAGAAGTGAGCTCTTGTCCCTGTGCTCAAAATTGCCGTGTTCCTAGCACACTCAACAGAAAAGTTCTCTCCATGGTCTGCCCCTCCCTCTGGTAATTATCAGTTCTATCCTCTCATCCCCTGCACTCCTGACTGCAATGACAGCTCCCCACTGCCTCTCTTACCCACATTTGATCTGACAGCAAAGCTAGATGGCTCTACCCTCAAAATGTATTCTGAATTTGACCACTTCACACCACCTCCACTGCCTTCCCCTTGTCTGATCCACCAGTACCTCATACTTGGACTGCTGCAGTAGCTTATTACCAGTCTCTTTCTTTCACATGTTCTGCTCTCCAGACCTTTGTATGTGCAATTGTCTCTCAGTATTTTATGGGAGATTGGTTCCAGGATCCCCTCAGATTCCCAAATCTGCAGATGTTCAAGTTCCTTGTACAAAATGGTGTAGTGTTTGCATATAACCTGTACATCCTCCTCTAGACTGTACTTTAAATCATCTGTAGATTACTTATGCTAGTTAATACAGTGTAAATGCTATGTAAATAGTTGTAATATTGTATCTGTAGGGACGCGGGGGGGTCATAGGCAGGGAAAAGATAAGAAGAAGGCCTCACTGAGTTTTATTAAGATCAATAGAGAAAGTTCTGCCTCTACCACTAAAAGCAGTTTCTGTGTTCAAAGGTAGACTCTACAGTTAGGGCAATTAAAAAGACAAAGAAGGGAGAGAGAAGGTAGACTGCAGAGGGGTGTGAGGTAATACAATTAATGTAAGAATTTAGTAGTTAGAGACACTGGGGAAGCCAGGCACAAGAGGGACTTGGAGGGCCAGCTCCCCTCACTCATTGACAGAATGCAAAGGAGATAAGAAACAGCCCCCTAAGGATTCTTACTTAATATGTAAGACACACATGCACACATGTGCACACACACACACCCCTACACATATACACATGTATGTATGTTCTCACTTCAACATCAGTAGAGCATTGCACCAAGTACACACAGGTACACATGTCCCCTTTATCTTTAAGCTGCCTCCCTATAAGCCCTCCTCCTTTACTTATTCACTAGAAATGGACAGGAAGAAACCAAATGCCAGAAGGAATATAAGCAGACATGCCAAGGTTAGTATCAAAGACAGTTAAGAGAACAAGATCAGTGCTCTTGACAAGTGCCCACCTGGGGAATAGGAAAGACACTAGTCCCCAGTAGAAGGAGCCAAGGATAGGAGCTCCTGGGCTTTCAGCACTGAAGCTCCCCACCACCTCACAGTAGCTATCTGTCCTCTTTCTTTTCCATCTTTTCCCAAATAAACCCTCTTTTGTTATATTAAACGTTGCCTTCTTTGAGTTCTTTATTGGCACCAGCTTTAGGGTTGCTGGGAGCTGCATTTTTAGCAGAGCAGGGGCGTGGCATGGCATGGCGTAGTGTGGTGAACTGCTCACCACTGGATGTCACATATCCTTTAGGGACTAGCAACAGGAAAACAGTCTATTTTTTTGATGAATATTTTCAGTCCACTATTGCTTGAATCCATATATGTGGAGCCCGGGAATGAGAGGGCCAACTGAACCGCTCTCTTTGCCTAGAGTGCTTTCTCATCTTCATGGTTTGCTTCTTCATTTTAAGTAGTTCCTTACCTTGGCTATTGATGGGTTTCTCGCCTCACTGTAATTCCTGCCGAGTCACTATGGTGTCCAGCCAATATGGTGCTAGAGGTCATGTAATATGGCGCTGAGCCAGTATGGTGCCAAGCCAATATGGCGCTGGCCACTAGAGGTCATGTGCTAAGCCCCACCCTTCCTCCTCCAAGTCAAATTATGACTTCCTACTTCCCTTTTTGTAATATCCTGTTTCCTTTTCCCACGCTCCTGCCCAGTCCTGGTCTGCCATGTCAGGAGGTCTGCCTCCTAAACCCCACCTCCAGCCTGGGCCTATTTAACCTTTGACCCCACAACAGGCCCTCAGAAGTTCCATGTCCCTTTCTTTCCTACTGTGGTCTTCTCTGCACCCACAGTAAAGGCATTTTATTCTGCTTTACTTCTCCCTGCACTGGAAAAACCTATCAGCTACCAGTTTCAGAAGAGGGCTTCCTTAACTAACCCATTCAGAATAAACTTCTCCACTCTTAATCCTCTTACCATGCTTTCTTTTCTACAAATAATTATAAAGTATAACCTCACACTGCATTATTTATTTGTTTGCTCATTTATTTAATGACTGTGACAAGGGAGTAGGGTCTGTGCCTGTCTTGTGTATAACTGTACTTGAATGCCATCTGGGCTCATTATGCAGTTAGTGAAAGAAAGAATGGCAGAAAATTGAATGAACAAATGAATTTTGAGCCTACACCCAAGCCGTTTGTCCTGTTTCACTCTTTACCACCCACTTTGTCAGATGGCCTTTTGCCTCTCAAAAATTTATATTCCTAAGATTTTCCTGGGCTGTCCAGATCTTTGAATCTCATTTGCAAAGACTAGTTGAGAATGTCAGAGAAGGACTTTTGGGATATTGACTTCAATCCAGATGATGTGAAAGCTGGAGGCCACAGAGCTCCTTTTATAGTGTAAAGCTATTTCACTTCCACCAAGAAGTCCTGCACATTCAGTCTTCCCTGACATTGCTTGCTTAGCCCTTTATGATTCTAATATCTTTCCCCTGTGGGACCACAAATTCACAATGGCTAATTTTGCATACTTTCCAAAGGGATGAACTGTTGGTATCACCCTTTTGAGATTTCCCATTATCTCTTTAGGGATGGGCCATCCTTTGCAACCCACTAATACTAAAACTAAAACTACTAAGATTAAAAGTCACTCCAGGGGAAGATCCTTCTTAGTATAAGATTATTTATGCCCTCTTGAGTCATCCGATAATGTCCTCTTCAAATCCCCTCTTCAATCAATAAAGCCCAGGTCCTGGCTCCCTCGTGGCCTTTTGTTCCTTGTGAACAACTGGTCATCCCAGATCCCCAATGTACTGCCATTTTGTCTTTTGTGCTTTCTCTCTCATTGTGCACTGTAACATCTGGCAGGAGATTGGAGGCTCACTGCAGGGGTCCCAGATATTCCCAAGTTATGGAAAATTCCCAGATTACTTCCTTCCTTCAATGACTTTCCATAGGTGAAGCTGCCATGGGTGGTGTTGTAAACTATGCACTGTGCAGAAGTGTCCACTCAGTGGCAGCTCCATTCCTAACGTCTATTGCAATGAAAAATGAATAAGCCATAATTCTCGTCCCAGTGGAGCTCAATGTCTTGTGATTTTAAAAACTTACAGACAAAAATAATGCAGTGTGGAAGCTGCCATGCTAAAGAAGCACTCAGAGATCTATGCAAGCAAGAAGCATTCAAGTCATTCTGGGGGCCAGTGAGAGCTTTTTTCAAGAAGAGGTTTGTTGGGGACCATAAATTTACAAGTTTTACATGCTTCCCTGAGGGACAAGTGGAGGCTTGGGACTTTTGGTATCACCCTTGTGAGATTACCCATTGTCCAATTAGGGGTGGGCCATACTCTCCCACCTACTAAGACTAAGATCACTAAGACTAAGACTACTAAGGCTAAAGACACTCTAGGACAAGATCCTCATTATTTTAAAATCACCACCGCCCTCTGAGTCATATGATAATCCCCTCCTCAATCACGAGCTTCTGGCTGCCTCATAGCCTTTTTTTGTTTGTTTGTTTTTGTTTTTTCTCTGGTACCGGGAACCGAACTCACGACCTTGCGCTTGCCAGGCAGGCGCTTTGCCGCTGAGCTAAATCCCCAGCCCCTGCCTCATAGCCTTTTACTCTCTGTGGACAACTGGTCATCCCAGACCCTGCTGGACCACGATCTTATCTCTTGCTCTTTCTCTCTTGCTGTGCACTCTAATACCTGGCAGGAGACTGGAGGCTCACTGCAGGGGTCCTCTATAAAGGTTGATGGCACAGAACTGTATGGTAGATTGGGAATAGGTTAAGGAATAAAAAGTGTCGCAGTAAAAGGGAAGAGCAAGTGTAAAGGCATGGATGGAGATATGAAATGCAGCTCATTCTGTGTGACAGTTTGGTTGACCCTGCCTCCTAGGGGGCCTTCTCTCCCCTCTTGCCCACTGTTAGTTACTCTGTCTTCAGCATGCTGGGTGCCAAGGGGCGGTTGGTGCCAAGGGGCAGTGGGTGCCAAGGGGCAGGGGCAGGCATGCAACAATGAGAGCTATCAGTCCACATGGAGAGGAGAATTTTACCATTGAAGTTGATTAGAATTGCTGGTTCATGATAATGAAAAGCAGACTAGCTTTCTATCAGTTCTATTACTGCTTTTCAGTTTTTTACTGATAATATACCTCCTTCCTGCCTGCCCTGAGAAGACGGTTCCTTGCCCTACTCCTCCTTCTATACCACTTTGCATGAGATTAATCATGACATAGATCTCATGGAACTTTGGTTTCTTGTTATACAACATCATCCTTGCCTTAGCCAATGCTGAGACAAGGACTTCAGTGGTTTATCTGGGAGGTGGTTCCACAAAATGGCAGGAAAGGCAAGGAGCAGAGAAGGAGGGTACATGAACATGCCAGACACCTGCATAGGGGACACGTGTAGGACATGCTCAGACTTGTCCCAGGTGAGGCCTATAAGACCTCCAAATGATATAGTTATAATGATATTATAACTCCCAACTTGACAGATGTGAGATACACCCAGTCTGTGTTCCCCAAATTGAAGAATGACTTCTAAGGAACAATGGAGGTTAAGAGTAGAAAAACTTTATTGGGAGAGAGAGCTTCTAAGAGATAGGAGGGGGCCCCAGCAGGTTGCCAATGAGCCCCCTTCTCAAAGCAAGTTTTATAGAGCAAAATCATGAGATAGATACAAAATCATGAAGTGGTTACAATTTGGGACAAAACTATGATCAGCCAGTAAGATTACAAGTATAGCCACTTAGGCAATGTTGATCCAATGGGGAAGCAAGTCACATAGCAAGTGTACATGGAAAGAACAAGGACCTTTATGGGAAGATATGAGACTGCAGGTCCTGGCCACCCACCTGGGTGACTGATGTCTATCTAGACTTTATTGGATCAGGTGGTAACAATATAGTATATTGCTTATCCCTTGTGGATGCGTGTGGGCCTGGTCATTCTGTTTTCATCTTAAGGCTTGCCCTTCAACAGATGTGTTTCTAGCCACAGTTGTAATGTGTTTTCATCTACACTGACTCCCTTGAGGGCCTAGCCCTGGCTGACTGCCTATGATATTTCTACCTAACTTATCTATCTATAATAACACCATAGGAGCTAGGGTAACTTATTTTCACTCTCACGCTCACCTGTTACAGGTAAGAGCTGCTTCTGGCTCATGAAAAGTCCTACATAGAGTTGCAGAATTTAGAGAATTCAGCTTTGGTGTTTACACATGACTGCAGGGGGAGGTAGGGCATTGCAGCGGCATCTGCTGTGGCCCGCTCACTTCTGTGCATGAGTGGCCAGACCTCAGGAAGTCTGTGTCCTAGTAGCCCACAAGGCAGAGGCATTAACACCTAGAAACTGAGAGAATGAGGGAAACTCCAACTTCAACAACTTCAACTCCAACACCATTCTGAGTCTCCTGAGAGCCAGGACTGTGTTCTGTGCATCCTGAACCCCAGGGTCTTCTATGAATGGAAACAAATGAGAGGATATTCTGGGATTGGAAGATAGCTGTGTCTTGCCCTGGACCATCCAGCACTTTCTGTGGACTTACCGACATCAGCGAGAGGCCTGTCTGCCCAGTGAGGTCTGTGGGTGGCTGAGGGATGCAGGTGGCAGGTGTCTCCCTGACTGGGCCCCCACTACCCAGGCAGAACAGATTCCATGTCAGAAATAAGGTTCCAGGATGGTGGAAATAACTTTGTAGGTGGCCACAGCCACCAGTTTTTGGTTGCCAAGTGACAGTAATGTGGAGGTTCCAAGCTCCTTGTCTCCTTGGAAACTGTTAAGAAGTGACTGAGATGGACACTAAGGTGGAATCATTTACCACTGCAGTCTTTTGGCCTAGCATCAGTGCAACCTCCTCACCTCCTCTAAGAAGGCTTCCATCATTAATATCATTTTTTGTGCTAACTGGCAGCCAAGACCTTCTATTCCCCTCTCCCTGGGGTACCAACCATACTTGAGACCTAGAGCAGATAATTTTTTAAATGAAATTTTAATGTACTCAGATTCATTTTTTAAAAGATTATTTTATTGTGGTAAAATGTACATAACATAAAGGTTATCATTGTAACCATTTTTAAGTGTGCAGTTCAATGGCACTAAGAACACTCAGAGTGTGCAAGAGTCACCCGACCCGTCTTCAGGACTTTTCTCATCTTGCATAAATGAAACTGTACAGCACTCATTAACCCCTAACTCTCCACTTCCCTCCCCCTTCAACCCGTGGAAACTACCATTCTACTTTTCATCTCCATGATTTGACTACTCTGTGTAGTTCATGTAGGTGGAATCATACAGTGTTTGTCTTTTTGTGACTGGTGTATTTCATTTAGCATAACTTCTTCAAGGTTCATCTATATTGCAGAATGTATCAGAATTCCTTTTCTTTTAAAGGCTGAATAACATTTCATTGTATATACCTACCACAACTTGTTCATTCATCCATCAAAGAAACTGTGGCAACATTTGGTTATTGTGGATAATGCTGCTAGGAACAAGCCTGTACAAATTTCTCTTTTCAAGACCCCATTTCTATTTTGGGGTGATAATTGGAACATAGAAGTGGAATTGCTGAATCACATGGAAATTCTAGTTTTAATTTGTTGGAGACCCACGATACTGTTTTCCATAGAAGCTGTACCCATGTTTCATTCTCGCCAGCAATGCACAAAGGTTTCCATTTCTCCACCTGACCAACACTTTTTTTAATGATAGACACCCTAATGGGTGTGAGGTTGTATTTCATTGTGGTTTTCATTTGCACTTCTTTCATGGTTAGTGATGTTGAGTGTCTTTTCATGTATTTATTGGCCTTTTGTATGTCTTCTTTGAGGAAATGTCTATTCAAGTCCTTTCCTCATTTTTGAATTGTTTCTTAGGAGTTCTTTCTATATTCTGGGCATTATTCCTTTATCATACATACATTATTTGCAGAGATTTTCTCCGTTCTTATGGATTGCCTTTTTCCTCTGTAGATAATGTCTTCTGATGCACAGAAGCTTTTAATTTTCAGAAAGCCCATGCTCAGTGGGCTGCCTCTGAAGAGCACAGTGTCGGTGTTGTCCCAGTGGTTCAATAGCTGACAGCTGTTAGCAAACTGCACTTGGGCCAGTTAATCTTAACTGTGAACTTGACTGGATTAAGGACTCCTAGAAAGGTGATTGGATCATGGGGTACTATGTTCATCAGTGAATTAACCCACTGATGTTCATAGGTGAATGTGCCGTTAGGAGGAGGGACCCAATTGTAGCAGGTGGTCACTGGGCATGACCCTTTGGAGGTGAAGCTCTCGCTGGTGTTCTTCCCCTGTGTTCCGCTTCCTGGCCGCCATGAACACTGCAGTTTTGTTCCGCAATGCCCTTCTACCATGATGTTTCTGCCTTGGATCCATCCGGCCATGACTGAAACCTTTGAAATTGTCAGTCAAAATAAACCTCTCCAGATATTTTCTCCTAGCAATGGGAAAGGTGACCAATAAAACACTACCCAGCCCTGCTGGTTAATCACTGTCTTGAAGAGAGGCCAGCATGTTCTCATGACTAACACATAAAAATATAGTCCTTTGTGACTGGATTTATCACTCATCAGCGTGTCTGAGACTTGTCCGCATTGTGCAGCAGTCCCTTCCCTGTGATCTCTAAGTAATACTGTGCTGTATCACTGTACATATCGCAGTTTATTCATTCCTTTCCTGATGGACACGTGGGCTATTTCTGGTTCTGAGTGATTATGAGTAACACTGTTATGAACATTCACTTACAGGGCATATGTTTTCATTAGTCTTGTGTAAATTCCTAGGAGCAGGATTGCTGAGAGGTTTACAAGAAATTGCTGAACAGATTTCCCAGATGGTTGTACCATTCCCTTCCCACCAATGAATGAGAACCCTAGTTGATCCACATCCAGCAGGAAAGGGTTTAATATAAAAAACATGCTTACAAAACCACTGGATGGTTAGAACATAAAGACTGGGGAAAGCTGCCACCAGCATTCAGAACCTGGAAGTTGCAGGAAATACAGGAAACCACCAGCAAGAGTCAGAGTTGCCCTGGGGCAGGAGGCAGGAAAATCCTTCACAGGCTGCTGCCAAACGAAATTCTGTACCACCACAATTCTGCTGTTGCTGAACGCAGTGATGTGCCTCCACTTCCACCTCGCATTGGCACCAGCCCCGCCGTAAGGGTCTACTTTGCCCCCTGTGCGTTATCTCCTTTAACTCCCATAATAATTTTTTACGGTAGAAACCATTATGATCCTCATTTTTAAGTTGAGGAAAGTAAGGTGCACTGAGGCTGTACAGCTGTGCCGGTTGAGCCGTCTTGGGCTTGCAGGATTTTCCTTCCACCACCCTGCCAACCACCACCACCACACACACTGTGGCCCAACTCCATTAGCATTAGTAGGGGCTGAGTCCTAGGTCTGCTCAGGAAGAAGTGGGAAATCCACGGCTGAATGCCAATGTTAAGGCCTCCGTTGGCGATAGGACGGGCCTGTAATAGAGGAAAAGGTCCCGGCTGGGGACAGATAGGGTGAGGGCGCGGGGAGGGTCCATGCAGAAACAGGTACGGCCACAAGAGGGCGCATGGACCTACCCAAAAGCCCACAGCGGAGCTGAGCGGAATGAAAGGCTGTGTCCACAGTAGTCTCCACACCTGGAAATACCTTTCTTCAGCTCCGGACATCACTGACCTCAGCGAGAGGCAGTCCTTGAAGAAGCGAGTCCAGGGGTGCAGGGGGCCTGACTCATTGCCGGGCCCCTCCCTGGAAGTGGATGAGGAATAAGAGGCTGCTTTTAGGAGTACTTTAGCAAGAAGCAGTTGGTTTGTAAGGTCCTATTAAAAGACAATTTTCAGAAAAAAGCTAAAATTATTACTCTTATACAGTCACAAAAATGACCACATTTTAAAGATTTTATTTTAGTTGTTAAACAATGAAGGAGCCACGCAGATGTTTTGACTAATTCAAAGGGAAAGTAATAAAACACAAATTTATGTGGAGTAAAAGAATTGAATTGTAAGTACAGGCTGAGCTTGTTTTTCTACACAGGGGAGGAGGTGATTCTACCAGACAAGACAGACATTGTGTGTCAGTTATGTGCAACTTACAACCAGTGTAAAATAGCTAAAAGAGGAGGAAAAGGCCCTGACGGCCCCCATCTTCTTATCCCGAGGATGTCCAGCCCTTCTCAGTTTCTGGGTCTCAGTTTCCTTATGTGTGAAAAGGGTTACTAATTGCACAGCCTCCTAGGGCTGTTGGGAAGTTGAAATCACGCAGTAAAGAGGAGTGCTGTCCCGTCTCTGTTAGGACTGCTCCTCATCCTGCTCATCATCAGTCACCAGGTCTGCTGTGCGTTTCCTCATTGCATCCTCCCACAACCCAGAATGAAAGGGACTGTGAGTAAGGACCTGAGTCACAACTGTGGTGGCACTTGGTCAAAGCCACCCTGAAAAACTCAGAGAGGCCAACCTGTAAAACACAAACAGAGCTAAAGCCCGGGTCTGTCCGGTCTCAAAGCCATGTGGTTTTGCAGAATGCCCTCACGTGAGCTTGGCAGGTCTTCTTCCTGGCTGAGCCTCCTTCCACTCCTTGCTCCAGAAGTGGGTCAACTGACTCCTTGAATGCCATCTTTTCTTGTTTCCACCACTGCATGGGGCACTTCATAGCTGCCAAACTGGTTGGGACAGATGGACTCTGGGAGTGGCCTGGTGGCAGGTGCTGTGGGTGTGGCAGATGGAGCCATTGGCTTCCAGGGATGTGGCAGGAATGACGCCAGCCTCCAGCACGCAAACCTCAGCCCACCCAGAACTGCCATAGTTTCCGCCTTGCTCATATGGTCTGGTGGAAAGGCCCAGTCCTGGCTGGACTTTAACAAGAGAGAAGGAAAAGACATTTCCCAATCACTGGGTCAGACCCCAGGCTGGCGGCCAGGACGGGCAGGAAGGGGCAGAGGCTGGCTCTGTCTGCATCTATATTTCTCCTGCAGCGTCTGTGGCCCAGCTGTCATCCTGCGCACAGCAGTCATCTCAGAGCATCCCTGGGAGATGAAGGCACATCCTCTCGCTTTGGCTCAGGGCCTCCGGCGAGCTCAGCTTTATGCCAAGCCCTTTGGTGGGCCGAAGGAGGAGCCCTTGTCCTTACAGAAGTTTGTTTGATAAAGGAGGGACAACACAACTAGTTTGGGCAAAATAGCAATGTATTGGTTTATGTAACAAAATTATCCTAAAGCCAAAAGCAAAGCTGGAGGGAAGAGGAGTGTAGGAGTGAGGTAGGTACATGATAGTGGGAGAAGCCAGGAAAGGCCTCACTGACAAGGGATGTCTGAGCGAAGATATGAAGACAGTGAGGGAGGGAGTCGGTGATGCCCCACACAGAAGGAATAGCAAGGTGAAGGTCCCGAGGTAGAAGTGTGCCTGGCATGTGTGTCCAGAACCTGGAGATGAAGGCAAAGGATGGGAGTTGAGGCCAGAAGAGTAACAGAGAAGCCAAAGTTTAGCAGAGTCTTGCAGGTGAGGGAAAGGAAGGGAAAAGTAATCCCAGCACTCTGGGCTGCTTAGCCAGGAGGATTATAAACTCAAGCCCCAGCCTGAGTAATTTAGTCTTAACAAGAGCTTGTCTCAAAATAAAAAAAGGAAATAAATAAAAATGACTGGAGGTGTAGTTCAGTGTAAAGGCCCTGGGTTCAGTCCCTAGCACTGAAAAAGAGAAAGGGAAAGAAACAAAGAAAGAA